GAACACCTTTAAAATCCCTCCTGGCCAGAGGAAAAACCCTTTCACCTGTAAAGGGTTAAGAAGCTAGGATAACCTCGCTGGCACCTGACCACAGTGACCAATGAGGAGACAAGATACTTTCAAAGCTGGAAGGGGGAAAAAATCAAAGGGTCTGGGTCTGTCTGGGTGATGCTTTTGCCGGGGACAGAACAGGAATGGAGTCTTAGAATTTAGTAAGTAATCTAGCTAGATATGTGTTAGATTATGATTTGTTTAAATGGCTGAGAAATTAAGCTGTGCTGAAAGGAAAGGATATTTCTGTCTTTGTGTCTTTTTGTAACTTAAGGTTTTGCCTAGAGGGATTCTCTATGTTTTGAATCTAATTACCCTGTAAGGTATTTACCATCCTGATTTTACAGAGGTGATTCTTTTTTACTTCTATTAAAATTCTTCTTTTCAAAACTGAATGCTTTTTCATTGTTCTTAAGATCCAAGGGTTTGGGTCTGTGGTCACCTTTGCAAATTGGTGAGGATTTTTACCAAACCTTCCCCAGGAAGTGGGGTGCAAAGGTTGGCAGGATTTGGGGGGGAAAGATGTTTCCAAACCACTCTTTCCCAGAAACCCAGTTAGACATTTGGTGGTGGCAGCGAAAGTCCCCAAGGTACAAACTATTTTACCTTTTGCCCTTGGAAGTTTTAACCTAAGCTGGTAAAAGTAAGCTTTGGAGGTTTTCATGCAGGTCCCCACATCTGTACCCTACAGTTCAGAGTGGGGAAGGAACCTTGACGGGGTGAAAGTCACTCACTAAGAAAAAGAAAGCGGTCACTATAGTGCTGACTGGTTCCTACTAAGTCACTGCTGACAATGCCTTGCTTCTGGGGAGATTCTGAGAAATGCTGTGCCCCATGTGACTAGTTGTGGGTAAAAAAACAAATTACTAGCAGATATACTGGCAAAAACAGGGAAATGGACACTTTATCTTCCTTTTGTCTCTTACGATTTTCTGCATTGTTTCCATTCACACTCTTTTGAACACCAACACAAATTAAGATATTCTGTTGTGGAGAGGAGATTTCTTTATGAGCATATTTATCATGCCAATAATGTAGTTTAATGGGACTTTGATGCTGTGCAATTATGCATTTAAATTCCATCTTACTGGAAACATTCTTGGTCAGGGGGAATTGCTGAAGACAATTTCAGGCAACCTGGGGATAATTTTGCCAGCCACAAGGCATAAACAAATTTTTTTAAAACATACAGTTTAGGAAAAAAGGGTTAGTTCTTTGCATTCATCCTATGGAAATCAACATTGGGATATGGAAATTAATATACAGTCCTACAAGGACACTGTTTGCTTTTTAAAATAAATTCATACAATATGGTATTTAGATAGGAAAACAACAACAACAAAATACATTCTTTTGGGGATTCTCCTTGGGTTAATTCCTCCTCCGTACATTTTGAAATTCTTTTTTACCCGATTATGTTGGCATTTATATAGTCTCTCTTTGTTTTTGAATTTCAAGAATGTTACAAAAAAATTCTCAGTTTTCGAGATTTCCCCTCACCTCCCACCCCCACCATTTCCCATCCAGCGTTATTAATTCCATTCAGTTCTCTGAACATTTCAAAATAGATGATTACCTCATATGATGCACACCTGTCCTGAGGAGTTTATACACCTTCAAAACTGACCATTTTACTTGGGTATGATGCATCATGAAGTGGTGAAGTAAGGGCAGAGTCAGGACTCCTGGACAGAGCTAGTCTGTCTGGCAGGGAACCCGCCTCTTTCCCCCAGCCTGGAGTTACTAAAGAAGTGTAGGGAGAAAGGAAAGCAATAGATTGAGGTAAAGACTTCCTGGCATGAAAACCAGAAATGATTCCATGTTGAAGAGGTAGCTGATGGAGAAAGGAAAAACAGAGGGGGAGTTTGAGGCTGCCATCAAACAGGGATGAAGGGAAAATTTTTAGCAATTGCAAGTGGAAGACAACATGGGAAAAAAATATCACACACTTTAGTTTTTAAGTATGTTTTTGGGTTTTCCCCCATATTCACAGTACTTGTCAATATTATTAGAGCTGGTTGAAAAATGTGCCTTTTTTGTCAAAAAAAATCAGCATTTGAAGGTTTCTATTAGATCTAATATTTATCACCATTGATGTGTTTGATTCTTTGCAATTAAATAAGAGGTTCCCTGGTACAAGTTGCTTATGATCTTTGAGACGGATGCAAAACCAAATCAGGCACAAATATATGATGTACTGGCAGCTGTCAGAGGTGATGCCTGAATGTAGAGAAGTGGTCCGTTTTAAAGATTTATTTTATTAGAGAGTTCTGTTTAAAATGTGAGAAATAGTGTCCTAATAGTGAGTTGTAAGTGGTAAACTTTCTAAGGAAAAGGAAACAGTTATTTACTTTTCTGATATTTTCTTTCCACCCAGCCAAAAGTGAGCCAATAAGCTGCCAGAGGTAAATCACTGCAAAAAAGTGGGAATAGGACCTTTTAGGGGTTGTAGTGAAGCAGAGTGGCCTCCCTCTGGACTTGAGAGCGAGGTACCACTACCCTCCCCCGATAGGTGGAGCCAAACCCCCACCAGAAGTACCAGGGCAGGACAGCAAGTATAAAAAGTGTGTCCTGCAGCTCAGTTGTGGCTGCACCACAGAAGGAGATGGATGTCTCTTCTAGAGAGCCGAGCCTTCTGTGGGACCCTGGACCAGCAGCCAAGCAGACCAGTGCCCTACTGAGTGAAGAGTCAAAGGACCCCAGAAAGTGGCTGAAGTTGCCACTGCGCAATGGTGAGGCGATGAGACAAAGCCCCAGCTCAATGGAGGAACACCGACTAAGTGAGGTAGGAAGTAGACCAGGGGAACAAGACTTCGGTCAGGTTGTGCTGCTGAGAAACCAAGCAGCAGATTTCAGTTTTCCTGCTGACGCAGTGGCAGCACCATCCACCAGTAATAGGGTCCTGGGCTGGGATCTGGTGGAGTAAGCTGTGCCGTGGTCTCCCTATCCCCTTTTCTGCTATTCCACACTTGAGGATTGGCAACACACTCACCCTTCACCCGGAAGGCTGTACCCTGATGGTTGGTTGCCCCAGCCAGGAGGCTGTGGGCTCTAGACTGTTGACTGCTGTCTTCCTTAGCCAGGAGGCTCGAATCTAAAGACTCTTTATTTCTCTGCCCCGTCCAGAGGGCCAGAGCCCTAGACTGTAGATTGCTGTCTGCCTTTTTTTCGGTCAGGGGTATGAAAAAAAACACAAGTTGACTGACAAAAGCATCGGTGTGGGCAGCGTCTCCTGCCAACATAACTACCGCCACTTGTTGGAGGTGGTTTAATTATACCAGCGGGAGAGCTCTCTCCAGCTGGAATAGCTGTGCTGCTGTAAGGTCTGTAGTGTAAATATAAGCCTAGAGTCTCCTGGCTAAGGCTAAACCCAGAGGGCCAGAGCCCAGACTGTGTTTGCTGTCAGCCCTAGTCAGGAGGCTCAGAGCTAAGACTGCTTGTTGCTCTACCCCAGAATCAGGCCAGAGCCCCAGACTTAACTCTTTGCACCAGCCAGGAGACTGAAAACTATAGCTTTTTGCTCGGCCCTGACCAGCAGGGCCCAAGCCAGACTTCTGTTGCCTGCTGGAGAGAGATGGAGTGGCCTCCCTCCCCACTGAAGAGTGAGGGTCCACTACAGGTTAAAAGTTTAGTTAGTCATCTATTCTTGTTCTGAACTTTTCCCCTTACATAGTATCCTTACTTGTTGCTGGTTGCATCAACTTTTTCCTACCACAGTCTATCATTACTTCTGCTGTTGGGAAGGTCAGGAGACCATATTCAGAGACTGAAGTTTTCATAAATAAAACTTCTCTAAAAAAAGCAGTTGCCAAAATACTGTATACCAAAAGCAATATGACTTGTCACCCTTCCCCACTAAAGATTTGCTAGGATTTTTCAAACTCTCATTTAACAATAGCAGCAGGAGGCTCTAACATACTATGACATTTATCTCTGTCTAATAAAATACTGCCTGATAACTCAGGGGGAAATCATTCTGTAAATAGAAGAGCAGTCTGATCAAAAATGAAGTCCTGGAGAATCATTAAAAAATATATACAGATGCATTATTATTTCAAAGATATGCTAATTTATCTTAAAGCAAGCTTTTTAGATGAATTGAAAACATATTTTACAATTCTTGCCTCTTTCTGATCAGAAATTATCAGAGGATTTTGATTTTAAATTTATTATTTTTTCTAAATGATTCACTATTTTCTTCAAATATTTCTTGTAGTGTAGATTGTAAACCATTTGTTGTGAAGAGTCAGCATTTGAAATTTGAATTGTCTTGATTGATTTGGATTGGTTACATGAGTACATTTCTGTTCCCTGACTAGATGACAGGAACAAATAGAATCAGGTTTCTAGCACAATTAAATGTGTTTGAGTTCAAATTTCACACTCTGAATATTCTGCATTATTTGTTTAAAAACATACAGAATAAAACTATTAGAATCAGGTTCCTAGTGAACATAATCAAACAAGCTCATGAGTTACTGAATATTCAGAATATCAACTACTCACTTAAAACTTATAGTTTCGGCAGACATTTCTGCCATGGAACACAACTAGAATATTCAGGAAAATGGGATATGGGCACAAACACAGTGAAAACTTGTTTAAAAATACAAGTTAATATTCACAAATTGTTTGCAGGATTCACCAAGATCCAGCTTACAATATTTATTGTGAGATCAAATCAGATGTGAACAAAACCCCATAAAAACCACAAACCAGAAAACTCTCACCCCCTCAACATAAGGCTGCCAAACTACTGCACTGCTTGTACATTTAACTCCAGCAAATAGTTATATATCTACTTTTGGCCAACTTGGACAAAATACCTTCATCACACAGCACCACAGCTACATAGTCACGTTTCCTGTTAGGCTGCGAGGTACTTCACCAGAAAGGCACAACAGGTGAATACATAGAGTGAAATATTTGATCAAATATAGTTTACTTACTTGGGATGTCGAATGTCTGGTAGCGATCGTTCCAGGGCTATGTTGTTACTAACAAGTATGTTGAAGCCATTCTCCCTATAAGCAGAATCGTCACGGTCTTCCTCTGTTAGAGGATACGGCTTTCCATGCTCACCTTTCCCTGTACAAAATGAAATAGTTACCGGTCTCTGTTATTTGACATCATAGAGAAGGTTCAAATTTGGCACAGTAGACAACGATATAGTGAGGAGGAATGGAACAGGAATAATCATAGAGCAGATCTCACAGACATGTGGGAAAATACAGGTCTACGATGATTGTCATAGAGGACAAAGCTTTGGAACCAGAAATGAAGCTGATGAGGATATCTTTGCGTTAGCCAGAGCTCATTGTTACCAATATGTACTTCGTATAGAGAGAGAAGTATATTTAATTTAATTATATAAAGAGCAACAGCAACAAGACCCAGATCAATTATTTTCTAACAATAGGAAGAGATTTAAACAAACAGGAGAAACTGTAAAGTGACCTTAGGAAAGCAGATTGCAGACCAACATAGATTGCTTGTAATGGATATAAAGATGAAAAGTCTAGTGGGGGGGGGGCAAAAGAAAAGTTGTCGAACAAAGGATAAAATGGCAGAGAAGCATGGCTAGAGAAGTTAGTCTGAGATGCAAGGATGAGGTCCTATAGAAGATGCACAATGACCAAGTCAATTACTAAAATACCAACAAGGTTTGGGGGAAACTTATTACAGAAAGTGCACAAGCTGCCTGTGGCCAAATTAAAGGAAAGAAATTTAATGAGAAGCAGATGTGGTGCAGAAGACTATGAAAAAGGAGGAAAGGTTTAAGTGGTGGCAAAAAGTAAGATTGGTGGAAAGTTTATGAGGAATACAAGCTGGTAAGGAAAACAGCAAAATGCTGTTGTGAAAGCTAAAGATCAGGCATTTAAAATCTTACATGCAGGACTACCAATGAAGGGGAGGGAAAGAATATATAAACTAACCAAGATTAGGCACAGAAGCATAGAGGACTTGGGACCTCCAAAGATGAAAATGGAAGAGTACTGGTGGAAGACAGCAAAACCATTAGGAGATAGCAGAGGTTTTATGAGAAACAGATCAATGAAGAGGAAGTGAAGAAACAGTTGAAGGAAATATGTGCAAGCAACAACCTCACATGATGGGGGGAAAAGCAGTGGGATTGGACAGTGTACCAGCTGAGGCTTATAAAGCATTAGGTCATGAGGGAATGGTGGTAATGACAAACTCTCCATATTTGTAAGGATCAGCAGGACTTGAACCTGGGCTCTCAGAGCGGCCAGGCAACCAGCATTTCCACCTGTTGACAGCTGTAACCTGGCCACTCCGTGACCCGCAATCCACAGAGGTTACACACCACCAAAAGCTAACCTCTTGCGTGATCTAATTGACAGTTGCCTTAGTGATCCCCGATTGAATCACTGATCCTCTATAAGACCATGCAGCATACCAGAAAGTGTCCAAGGAACAACACGGATCTCTAGCTAGCTGCCACCACTGCCTTGCTTCTCTGTTCTGAATTCCCAGTATCTGATATTGACCCTTAGCCTGCTTCCTAACTCTGTCTCTGATTTGGACCCTCATCTTGACTTGGATGCTTTCTATGTCTGTTGGCTTCAGGTCCTAGCTCCCAAGCTCCTGATACTAATCCTGCCTACCTTTCCTCAGAATCCTGACAGTACTGGAAAAATGCTGGATGAGTGGTGGAAGAGCACATTGGTCCCCATCTTCAAGCATAAAGGAGATGTACAAGAATGTAGTAATTACTGACCCATCAAGCTAACGAGTCACATGATGAACTGTCTGGAAAGAATGATCAAGAAAAGACTTTGGATGGAATTGGAGGATCAAGTAAGTGACAGCCCATTTGGCTTTATGCCAGACAGGTCAACAATAGATGCAGTGTCTGCTCCCCAAATATTGCTGGAAAAGTACCAGGAGAAACTCCTAGTTTTGGTGGATTTAGAGAAGACTTAGACAGTGAAGGAACATAAATTTACACCGTGTAGAGTTAAGCACAGCAACCTTATTAAGTACAGCACTGACTGAGTGTTACGTTGCTTATTAGGCTTAGACACTGTTAATTAATTGATTACAATGGAATATATGGATTTTCCATGGGTGGGGGAAAGTGACGGGGTAGGCAGTTTTACACCCCCGGAGACGTTTAGCAGCAAGACAAGATAGCACAGTGGCCAATGGTTAAAAAGATTACATAATGTTTTTGCCCATGGTTTTAAGTTAACAAGTTAACATTTAATTAGTACTTTAATAAAATGTATTAGTATAACATATATATGTGGAATTTTGATTTGGGGTTTATAGGAATGAAGCAAATTTTTCGATTGTTTAACAGGGTACATTTTTAGGGGTTAAAGCAAAGAAACAGTGAAAGTATGACAAAGATTGAGTTGGTTTTTTTGTTTGTTTGTTTTAAGGCAGGCATTGGTTTTTGGGAAAGGGAGGAGGCCATATTTTATACTGACATGTTTTAACCTTTATATAAACTTAAGGTTGGATGTGTGGGAAGAACATTTTTTTTTTTTTTTTTTACACAAAAGAAAGTAACACAACAGAACCAGGGCTTTTTTGTTTTATTTGCAACTTTGCATAAGACACAATTATTTAGTACTTAGCTTTAACATTTGGCAGTTTGCTCACTAGGCTTATTTTAGCAAAGCAACGTGTTTTTTTTGTATTTTGCGTTTTTAGCTAATTACTATTTGCTAGGCCTTTGACCTTTTGACCAAACTTTGGGCCTGTTATAGAGCTGACACAATCCATATACCAGGTGGTTATGTAAACAGCACATGGATTTTAACCCTTCAGAAAGGATTCCGAGAGAGCTGTTATAGTAAAGCATGAGGTCATGCAATCTGCCAGAGACACATGCTCAGACTATCATGGGCATGTACAAGGGTAGCACAACAGTAGCAAGAAGCAGTTGCAACTACAGTGAGTCATTCACAGAAAGGATAGGTCTACACGAAGGATCAGCCCAAAGCCCATTCCTATATGTGATTGTAAATGGGCACCAGGACACAGGAGATTAGTAGAGAGGCTCCATGGAGCATGTTTTTTGTTGATGACACGCAGGAAGATAAATATAAACTGGAAAGGGACCTAGAACTATAGAGAGCTGCATTAGAAGAAAGTGGCTTACGAATTAGCCAAACAAACAAACATAAAAGACAGAATACATGCAGCGCTTCATTGGAAGGGACTATGAGAAGCCAGTAAAACTGGATGGTGTAGAGTTAAAGACTATGCAACACTTTAAATAGTTTTTGACATATGGCAATTTCCTGGACAAATCTATTGAATTAAATTTAATTCCTTTTGGGTTCATTGTATTAAAAATGTAATTGTTTGTATGTTGTTGTGAAATTGTAGGTAAATTCTCTTAGAGGAGGGGGCTTGCTAATATACTTCATCTGGTTATCAGCCTTTTGAAGCTTCATACAGGGGAGAGGACCCATTGTCTGGCTCATTACGTAGTCATTGTCTCTTCAAAGGTTCAGACTGGATTCTCTTGGAACCAACTGACAAAGAAAGAATTTTTGAATACATAGGCTGAGTTTAAGCTGACTCAGGGCCTTTGTTTTGATCAAGAAAATGGACAGGACTCATGGAAAACCCCAATCCTTAGGAAAGTCTTGGAATAACTGACTTCAGCCAGAGCCCTTATGGAGTTGGGGGTGATCTCTGGCAAGCTTATTAGCATGTGTGTAGGTTCTTTTATTGTTAATGTTATCTCTGTAGTGCTTTTACCTTAAGAATAAAGTATGCTTGTTTAGGAAGAACACTGTGGTAACTTATAACTGGGGCAACGACACTGTTTATGGTCTCTGAGGGGAGAAGCAAAGCAAGCCTGCTGGGAATAACAGTGAAGTCAGGGAACTGTTGAGCCTGGAAATACCTGATCAGGAGGGAGAAACAGGTGGCTCTCCCCTTGTGAAGGCAAAGTCTAGGGGGCTGGAAGCCTGATAGTATGTGCCTTGCTGGACCACTAAGGGGAAATACAGGTACAACTGCCCTGAACTTTGACACCTTGTTTCAGTGTTTAACCATAAGGGGAACATGGATGCGAATGTTAGGAGCCACATGAAGAGTGGCTGGTGTAAATGGAGGGAGTTGATAGGAATTCTCTATGATAAGAATATGCCCACGTATCCTAAAGAGTAAATTGAAAAGATCATGATTAGGCCAAAGATCTGTGGGTCAGAACAAAGAGAAAAGAACTACTTCATACTGCTGAAATGAGAAAACTTAGGTAGATTCTGAGTAAGATGAGAGCTGATAGGCTATGCAATAAAATGGTATGATCCCTGATACAGGTAGCCCCGATCGCAGAAAAGCTGAGAGCATCCACTCAGATGGCAGGCTCATGAGACGATGAGATGTGGAATATGCCGGCCAGGGAGCACAAGGACTAGCAGTCACAGGGCAAAGACCATGAGGAAGACCTAGGAAAGGATGGTTTGAGATGATATGAAGAAGGATGGTGTCAGCTTGAAGATGCACTTAACAAAAATGCTTGGAGCTGAAGAACAAGAGCCACTAACCCTAATGAATGGGAAAAGGAGAAGGCAAGGACGAAAAGGATATAGCAGAGATGGACTCAAACCAGAACCTCACACCTGAACACTTCTAAGGAAATTTATGATCTAGATATGCATGTTGATATAAACATCATGATTCAGGTCTAGTGCATATAATGGACTGAACATCAAATCAGAACTAATCTGAATTTCCCGAAAGTTCTGGGGTAGTTTAGATTAAGATCCAATTCTGGACCTTAATTTTAAAGCATGTTTTCATGTCTTGTTTTCAAATTTATATTTAAACTTAGACGTTTCAAAAGCTTTTCACATTTGTTTCAACATTATTGTCCTTGATATGGCCTACACTTAAATGATGGTGTCATTTAAAGTTGGTGGGAAAATTCAGACAGAATATTTTTTGCCAGTTCATCTAAATAGAAATGTTTGATGGAGGCAGTTCGATTACAATGACTTTGCATTGGAATCATGGCTGGTTTCCTCCCAGATCACCTACTTTGCTCCGCTGCCAGGGAGCTGAAAGCCATGGAAGTCCCGGCACCCAAGTCTGTGGCT